TGATTTATTCCGGATTTATTTTAATTTTGGGATAGGTAATAGGACCTCTACATGCGTCTGGGATCTCTCGTTTCTGGCTTACTTATAAGCATGATTTATTTAATGGATTTCTTATATCTTCAACGGGGTCTGGAAAGTAGACCATGCCGTGAAATATTGTATATTATGGTGCACGCATATAATGCGTGTGCTGTTTAGTGTCTTTTGTATGTCAATCCATTGAAAAAATCCCCCTCCCCCCCTACTACACGCTATAGACAATAGTACTTTTACTTTTACTTTTTACTTCAAATATTTTTAAGGATACTTTGTACTTTTTACTTAAACACGTTTTGCTTCCAGTACTTTTCACTCTTACTCAAATCGTTTTATTGTTAATTACTTCTACTTTTACTCGAGTACAAATTCAAAGTAATTTAAGCACCACTGAATTTTTGTCACCGTATATACAGATGGGGAAAAAACTTTTATCAGACTTCGAACGCCTTTCACCTCTGAGTTCGTGAGTTTGATTCTCGCTACGGACTCATGTGAAAAGAGTCAGTCAACACTCTGCCGAAAGTCGTGGGTTTTCTCCGGGTGTTCTGGTTTCCTCCCACAGGGAAAGTTGACAGGGTGGGTTAGGATGAACACAGTTAAAACTAGAGGGCACTCAGAGACTGCATACCTCCGCCCGCATTGAATTTCGGTCGTGTGAAATGCAACTAAGACAATAGACAATGAAGGCTGCAGCTTAATGAGGTTTATCATCTCATTATTGTCTTAGTACTGCGTGCACACATTATACACGTCCTAATTACGCATTCAGTGAGTTTTTTTTTAATTGACCGGGAAAAGCAAGACAAAATTTTGTTCAATTTCTCGTTCAATTTTTAACCAAATTCAACCAAATTTTAATCAGTTCTTCCTTAGCCGATGGGAAATGCATTCAAAAAATTTCGTATGAATATGTTTGGTATTTCTTGAGTTATCGTGCTCCCAGACAAACACACACACATACACACACACATACAAACCCAGATGATTACATAACCTCCTGGCGGAGGTAACAAGTAGTATAACTATTGTTGTAAAGATAAAATAGTCTCGGCTAAGTATGTAATTAGATGAGTGCAATACTTGACGTATAACCGTATATGATCATATATCCACATGTAAGTTTGCGCTATAAAAATGCTGATCATAATCGTAACAGATTGATATTAAAAATAGGCAGCTTCAAATTTACGAAATTAAAACCATGAAATACCCACCCCACCACACACAACTGCTAATATTTTGGGATTTTTAGGATGTGGTTCATAACTACATCGACCAAATATCCAATGTGGCATTCCAATTTCCTTTTCAACTGGAAACACATCACGTTCGTCCTCGGTGTCGAAGATATACTCGTACAAGTTCCACCAATCAGATCTGTCAGAGATGAAGAATAGTGCACCCTCAGCTGTCCACCTTGGGTGCATAAGACTCACACCATCATTACAAGAGATCTGTTCGAAACAGAAATTGCGAGGTCAGCGCTGGTAACCCCACAAAAGGATATAAAACTCCATGGAAAACTTCTCAACAGCCACTCAGTCAAAACAAAAAGCCATTGCATATCTTTTTTCTGTTTAGATTGTGTGGCTATTGAGAATTTTTCCACACAGTTTACAAGAAACACAGGAGTTTATTAACAGGAAAGATTATCAAAAAATCTTTCAGTTGCAGACACATCTTTAACCCATTGAGCATGCAGTACTCTCTCCTTGACAAATAAAATCATCTGGCATTAGACAGAGTAAAATATATTCTGGGTGCATCAGGGTGCAAATGCAGCTTAAATGGTTAATACAGAACACTTTGCTCTGCTCTTGAGGTGTTAATGTATTGTAGAGATTTGACCGCACCTGCTGAGCGGAACCTTCTACCAAACGTTCCCCATCAGTACTCAGTTGACCAGTCCAGAGCTCCACAGTATCCCATGGCTGTAATGTTAGAAATAATTCAGTGTAAATTTACATGAAATAATGTAAAACAGATCACTTCATTTTCAGTAATAATTACCATATTGGGATGGTTCCACTGAATCCAAGCCAGAGTGCCACTGCTGGAGGAAACTCTTGGAGATGAATAGAAATCAGCACCTTCACACTGAAACAAAATTAATGGCATTTATGTTATAACTTTGATAATGATTTTGGTGGCACATTGGTTAGAACATGCGCTTGTCACTGAAATTGTTTTGCCTCCAGGTCTGGCTTTTGAGGCACAGACACACCTCCTCACATGTCTTATTTATTTGCAAGTATAAAATCATGCCTCTTTTTTGCCACTTTGTGAAACAACAAGAGATGCCCTTATTGGACATAGGCAGAACAGTTCAGAACTGACAAAGCTACAGCTATATCTCTAAAAAACAGTTGATATTTACAAGATGTTATTTCTTGCCAGATAAATCATTTCAAATAATTTTATTCAAATAGCCAGATTCGAAAGGGTGAATTGTCTGACATTATACCACAATAAATTGTTCTTGAGTTTCTGGATCAATAGCCACAATGGTGTTCTTGGCTTCCTTTGCTTCTCCAGATTCAACAACTCCATGATCCTCACAAACACAAATGATCTTCTTGACAGGCTCACACATTTCACCATCTGCATATCTGGTAATTAATTAAAGTCTCATTAATTAATTATCTATAAAATATTCTGCTTGAAATTGCCATCTACAAAAGCCCTTCAATTGTTAGCGAGATATACAAATCTTGATACTTTAGTTATACCTTAATCCTTTGCCCTCGGGTGTGATTGGTTGTGGTGTTGATGTGGGAGATTCCTGTTTATACATTCTCTGATCATCAAAGTTTGTGAAGTAAACTTGTCCCTTGTAAACGAATGTCGATCCACCTCCATATTCATGAACCCTTGTCCGAGCGTTAAATCCCTTGGGAGTCCAGGATATGACCTCTGATTGTTTTTTGCTCCAAGAACAAACAACAATCCGACCACCCTCAGTTGGCCTTAGGTCACTCCAAAACACTACCTCTGTAGTGGAAAAGATGGAAATGAAATAAAATCCTGGTATGGTACATGAATTTCCAATGTGTACAATCTGGTATGAAATCAGGTAATATCATGTTTTTGTTTCAAAACATTCAGGGGTTAGTTGTACAAAGGCTGGACAGCGCTATCCACCAGATTTTTAACCTTTCTAAAAATGCCTGAAAAGCTGTAAAAATGGATATAGACCCTACAATTGATAAAAGAAAACTTTAACCCATTGAGCCGCAATACACCCTACTTATTATTTTTACTTGTCTAGTTGTCTAACGCCAGACAATTTTACTTGTCAGTGGGGAAGCTCTGCAGCTTAATGGGTTAACCAAAAAATCTGACAATTTCTCTAGTTAATCCATTGAGCCGCAATGCACCCCAGTGAGCCCTACTTTTTTCACTTGTCTAACACCAGACGATTTTGCTGTCTCGTCAATGGGGAAGCTTTGCAGCTTAATGGGTTAATTTATAAATACTAAAGTTTAATTTGGGTAACACCAAATCAACAGCTGATTTTAGAAAACTTGAAAAATCACTATCCAGTGAATAGCACTTTGTACAGGAAGCAAGAATGTTATTATATTCATTCAGGAATGCAGTACATTGACAACATCATCAGATTGACACCTTGGGAATGGCAACCTTTGATTGGTCTGTGGGAGATTGTGCTACGATCAGTTAATAATAGTTTCATATTTTTATGGTAAATGGCATGGAAAGATCTGTTGTGGAGTAAACTTGTGCTCACCAGGGGAGGGGGAGGTTACATTTCCACTTCCTCCAGGGGTTTGTGTTGATATTTTCCTAATTGCACCATTTCTGAATGTTTTGATGTGAAAACATCTGCATATATAGCAATTGCAAGTCATATTTGCAGTTGTTTGATATTTTGCTACAAGCCTACAAGAAAGGGCCTGTAAGGGACAGAATGCATGTTGCTCAACTGCTTTCCAAGACAAGTAATATTGTGGGGTGAAAGATGAGGCAGTGTAAACTTTGTCTTGTTGTTATGAATGGGTCGTTCCAGAAAAGATCCATACCCCCCCCACGGAGGAAATTTTTGCTGTCCGAAGGGGGAGGGAGGAAAAATGTCTTAGGATGTCCGAAAAGGGGGGGGGGGGGGGA